ACCACATATTATTAAAGTTAAAGTACAGCTGCCCAGAAATCAGAAAGCACAACAGTCTGCCTCTCTCTCTCTACCTACCTATCTATCAGTAATTTCACTTCAGGAATATTTATCTTTAGAAGGTGGGGACTTCAAAAAAAACCTCATAAAAATGCAATAGCAGACAAGGGGAATAGCAGGTGCTAAATATCATTTCTTAGCTATACCACCTGAAGAAGAATAGAGCATTGATCAGCTCAGTATATACAGGAAGTAGCATAAGTCAGTTTCCAGGTACCTACATGCTCAGTGGAATTCAAATCTCAGAAGGGACACTTACAATCTGACACACACACACACAATACATGTCTCATGGTTTTCTGCAGTGGCGATATCAGTTACAATATATTTTAAACACAGCAAGATGATTCTAATGGTATTTTTCTGATGTTACTAAGCTATAACACAATCACTATTCATAAACTCTTAGGTAAAAGATTAATGAAGCCCATAGACTCTGATTAATCTGAATTTTTTTATTGACAAGTAAGACCAGAAGTAGCTTTTGGGGCATATCTCACACCTGCACTCTCAATCTTTTTCATCTTTTTTTCCCTTTGAAGATCCATGGCTCTTGAGAATTTTCAAGGGGGGGGGGGAGAGAGAGAATTAACTGTTGCAAATAAAGGCCGTGGCCCACAATATGTTCATTAACTGAAGCCAGCACTCAAACAGAGAGGGTTGAAATTGGAGCATTGGCTAAAGTAGTATAAAAGTCAGAAACAAAATGATCAATCATGCAAGGTGCTGGGCACACATGATCAGGCCCCAAGAAAGCCTGATCCTGCTCCCCTTGAAGCCAATGGGAGTTTTGCTATTGACTTCAATGGGACTTATTGTGTGAATAATAATTACTTGTTTGAGTTAGGGTGCTACAGGATCAGGCTCTGAGTCAGGGATGCTGGAACAATTTGTGTAGTGGGGGTGCTGAGAGCCATTGAACCAAACTGTAAACCCTGGATATAATGGAAACCACTTCACTCCCAGCACCGCTAGTTCGGCTCCTATGCTCGGAGTTCAATTGTGTGCGGAATTCTGAAACTAGGTGTTTTTTTGTTTGTGTTTGTTTGTTTGCTTAAAGTTCATACTTGGGAAAGAAGAGCATCCATTAACCTAGCAATGATTCAGGTGAGTTTCAAGTGAAGCTGAAACACACACGTGCACACAGACACATGTAATGTTCCAGCCAGACTGTTACGAGCTTTGAGGTTTTGCAGTGATACAAAACAGCTGTTTGGTGAGTTCTGAATTTCTTAGCTTATTTAACTCCCTGGAGCAACATTTTAGAACAAACACAAAGGGCATCTTTTACTTCAGTTCTCTTTTCTTTCACACCAGACACTCCAAAATGGAACAGGTTATTGACCCACTGGCAATGCTAGTTATACAACAGTATTGTTTCGAAAATCTGGGGGACAGGAGAGGAAAGTCAATGTGACATTTTCCCAGCAAAATCATACTTTTACCCATCATTTGATTTGATACAGTGGTTTGCTACAGTAAATTGTAGAAACTGTTGCTAACCTTAAACAGACCAGAAAAATCTCTCACTATTCAGGATACAAATAATAAAATAAATGCAAACTTTAAAGAACAGACTATTGCAACCTAATTTAGGAATTTACCCAGACAAATAATTGCCCCCCCCCCCCCGCAAAAAAAGTATCCACATTTCTTCTCTTGCTTTGAACAAGCACTACTTTTAGAAGGAACACCTGAACAGGACTGGCCGCAAAACCTAGTTCTAAACATTCTTTCCCATCACAATCAGCTAGCATAGGAACCTTAGAACATGTCTAAGATTTTGAGTCTAAGCTGTTGTGCGCACATGACAAAGAGTTCCAAGCAGAAGCCAGGGAACAGGGGTCGGTGGGGGGAGGCATGAAAGAGGGAAGTTCCAGAACTTGAGTATGCTCACTCCACTCCAGCCTTGTGTAAAGCCCTCTCCCATAGAGATCAAGATCTGAGGGTGAGGAGAAAACAGGCTAGAGGCAGTGATGCTGAGCCTGGGGTGGCCAGTCTCCTGTGTGTCATCCCCCACTAACCTCACAAGGTTTGGGGGCTTAAATTAATGTTGACTGTTACATGCTATAAATTAGCATAATGCTCCCACTATGCTGTGAGCTTCTCAGCTCAAGGGAAGCTGGGAGTGGGGGCAACAAATAGTTGGGAGTGCAGGTCTTGCAGCATCTACAGACAATCTGAGAAAGGGGGAATTTTCATTCTTTCCCACTCCAACCATCTTCCCTGAGAATCACTGGCCCTCTTCTACTTCACAGGCTCCCGCTAGGGTTCCAACACTCAGAGAAGAGTAGTGACAATCTTCACCCAGGGCAAAATAGCAAAATGCAATGGAAACTATGGGAGAGAACAGCAGAGCTGAGTATATCGGCACAGCAAAATGTCTGAAAACTGGCATAAATAATGTACAAAATGTGCTGAAGGATATCTGCTACTCTGCTTGCAGCCCCAGCTACTGGGGAATGAATCTATGCATAGGCATAAATACACATTCAGCTCTTTTATACAGCACTTCAACATGAATTTTCCACCCTTGCTTATCTGAACTACAGTGACTTGAGGACTATTTGAATGGACTACCTTTACTGCTATTTATTCTTGAGCTAAGCCAAGATATTAACAAAGTGATAGAAAAATACAACTGATCCCCTTGCAAGACAGGACCTCAAAATTATTGGTTGCATAAAGCATTAAATAGCATGCAATCGTCTGTCTTTCATAAAGGTCAAGCTAATTTTCATCATATTTGCATGCTTGTTCAGCCCACTTGCCCTACATTGCAATATCTTTGATCTGCTATTTTTTGGCTCATATAATCAACAAGAGCAGCCTATTCCATGGAGGACAGAAGATTTTGTGGTAACCTAATATAAGTAAATAACATACATTAATTGAAGAGATAAGTAGACAACTTTCAGAATGGAGTGTGCAGGGAGTACAGGTCAGAGAGATCTACAGAAGGCTGGCTTATAAAACCATGGCCCTTTCCCAGTTCATCACTTCTTTCAGATCAGGACAGAGGCATATTGCTGGGGTGGTAGGCTGCGTGTGTGTTGTGCGGGTGGGGGGAAGCTTGCACTGCTGGTGGTGGTGTTTCATGACCCTCAGGGAACTCATGCATGGGTCCGGCAATGCAATGACCACCCTGCCTTTATGGCTAGAGAGAGAGAGAGAGAGCATACTCGCATGTATCCTAAAACTCTTTTCTATTCTGGCCTGGGGTCATAGTCTGAAAAAAGTTGAGAACCACTGGAGTAGAAGTCTTCAAGTCTCCAGCACTAATCATTCCAGCATCTTTAATGAGCAGCAAAAAATCACTTTAAAAAATAGAAACTGATAACCTACACAGACTACCCATGGATCATTTATATTGCTGACAAGCACATAGAACAGCCAGTCTTCTGAGAAATATCCAAAAGGAATCAAAATAATTAACTCCAGCTGTAGACTGTGGGCATCTACCCTAGTCCAAGTACAATTCTTTTTTAATCTTCTGTCAACATTGTAAACCTCTGCTTGCCAGGCCTCGTCACTCCAGTCTCCATACCACTGACAAGCCTGCTACTAGCAACTGCATTGCAAACATTCTCACCTATTGACTGTAGATAGACAAGTCTATTGAAATCCAACCAATCAGTAAGAAAGCAGGTGAGGACTGACATCGTCTTCTGCTTCTGGGATTATTCCCATGCTGTGCCGGCTTTAGCAAGTGCAGGGCCCAGTTCCTTGGGCTTGTACTCAAAGGGCAGTGCTCCAAGTCTTCAGCGACACTTCGGATTGCCGGCCAGGAGAGGGGGGCCGCGGGGCTACTGTGCTCCGGCCGGGGTCGCGGGGCGGCCGCGCTCCAGTCGGAGCTCCAGCTGGGAGAGTGGGACTGCAGGGCTTGCAGCACTCCAGCCGGGGGTCACAGGGCCGCGGCGCTCTGGCCGGGGTTGCTGGGCCCCGGGGCTGTCACACTCTGGCCGGAGCTCCAGCCGGGAGAGCGGGGACACCAAAGACCCCGGAGCGGACCGCCGCTGGGGTGAGTAAAAAAAATTAAAAAGGCGCCTAAGGCATGGGGACCTCTTAGGTATGGGGCCCGATTCCGGGGAATCGGGCGAATCGGACTAAAGCCGGCCCTGCTCCCATGCTTAATATTAAGCAGATGCACATAAGCATTTTGCTGGATCAGACCAGAGCACTCAGCACTTTACAGGATCAGGCCCTAAGTGCTTAGCTGCAACAATGATAAACACAATATAAATAGATGGATATAACACAGGAAAAACTAGTGACCATTCATAGAGGTGCAATTAAAATGATACAACATTTGGAGGGTCAGATTCCTGGGAAGAGACCAAGGGGCTAGACTGATATAGTCTTTAAAAAAAAGGAGGCAGGGAGACAGAAGTGGTAAAAGATCACTTTCTAGCTAGACCTTCATGCTTATAACAAATTAAGAAGGGAATTATTCACAGTCTGAGAAGGTTGTAGGACAAGAAGTATTAGCCTGACACTATGGAAGGAAAAGTTGATGTTAACTATTGGGGTAAGGTTCTTAAATATAAAAGCACCATCATTTGAAGATGTTTAAGAATGGGTTAGATACGATATTATAGGGTATGAAGTAGGGAGTAGTCCCACAAAATGCAAGGAGCTGTTTTCCATCGTGTTTTTTTCTGGCCATCTATGGGCCAAATATTGCTTCCACTGAATCAGTGGCAAAATTCCCATTGACTTCTATGGAAGCTGCAGCACTATGATTTAGCTGTGTAGAATTTCAGTTAAGAAGTCTATGAATCACATCATTCTACCATTGGCAGCTGAGAGCTGAAGACAGCAGGATAGGAAAAGCACAACTCAACTGACTGGAAATAATTTTTCTATTAACTTTAAAGAAAAAAAGAAAAGAAAAGAACACAGCATAACTTAGTTAAAATTTTTCTTTCCTGCTGTTGCTCTATTACTAATACCTCCTTATGTGATTAAAACAGAAAGAATCATCAATGCCTCATTTACTTTTCACAATCTGTGGGACCAGTCCTGCAAGCCCTACCCACTATGAGTGAAATTCACTCCTCTGCAGAAAGCCGCCTCTGCTCTATGTGCTTCCTGCTCCCTTTTTTGAGAGTAAGTCAGGAGATCAAGTGGTGCCTTGCCCTTTTGCTGGTTGTCTGCACAGGAATGAATTTCATCCATAAAGTGTTCCACTAGCTTCAATGGTGCCTCTAGGGAAGATGAGCAGGGGGAATGGATGCAGGATGGGCCCTATGTTGTTAGTTTAATTTTTGCATTTCACTCAGCTTGGACTTTTGAACTGAAATGGTTCCACACTTTCATTTCCAGCCATTTAATTTACTCGTTTTCATGTACATAACATGTTGGGTTTGAAAGTATCACGTCACTGCATTAAAAAGTGTGTGTGTTGAAAGGGAAAAAAAATTCAAGAAACAATCCCGATCATATTAGGTTATGTTAAAAACACTCCCATCCAGACTTTTTCGAAAAGAAAGAAAGAAGGGGATGGAGGAGGCAGGATTCAGCAATGGACTGGTACTCAAGTGATCTGGGCTCCAATCCAGCTTTCCTAGGTGACCTCAGGCAGCTCATTTAATCTCTCTGTGTTTCAGTTCCCCAATGTAAAATAAGCATAACAATACTGCCTTTCTTCCACTGTTTGTCTGCATTGTCTGTTTAGACCTGTAAGATCATTAGGGCAGGGACTGTTTTACTGGGTGTATGTACAGTGCTTCGCACACTAAGGTTTTAATCGCTAGCTGATCCTGTAACTCAAATTAATATACCTTTATTATTAAAAAATAAAATGTACATTTATGACCTAAAACTGGATGACCCTTGAAGTACCAATTAAATATACACTCATGAGTGCAGTCCTGTATGTCTTAGAAAGGTGCTGATGGGTGAATCACCAATTGACTTCAAATGTATTTAGAGTCATGGAAATTTCAGGTGGATGAAAATAATCTTTGAAATATTTTTAAGAGTGTTTTTTCCCCAAAGATAATGTTCTCCAAATCATTTTTCTGCTTCTCCCCTGGTATTTCTGTTATGTAATACTGATGACTTTGTCAGTACATAGCAAATTGATGGGGGTGTTAAGATTGAAGCTTTCCCTCTTGTAAGAATGTAAGCATAGGTCTATGTTGCAGGTGACTTTAGCCTGAGCCAAACTCACTGATCCAAATTTGAACCACTAGAATGTGGGATAAAACATTGACTGCAACAGTACAAAGGAGCAACCTATTTTTTACCTAGAAATATTTGTTTTTCTTCTTTTGTGAAGACATCCAGCCAAGAAGGGGAGACTGAAATGGTACCACTCCTTGTAAATCTCTTAATCTTCAAGGTCCTCTTCATGTCTGTGGCATGCGTCTCCTAGTAATCTTTCCATTTAATACCCATAATCCATAATCTCTCATTGTAATACCCATAATCCTTTGATACTGTGTGGAGCAGAGTTCAGTAGCTTCCGAGGCCAAGACATTTTTTAAAATAATTTATAAAGTTAAACAGAATTTCCTTTGCCCACCCACAAAAGTTAAAGCATTTCTATGACTGCAGTTCATTTCCAAAAGTTTCCACTCACGCAGGTTTTCTTATTAAAAAAGAAGAACATTATTATTTTGGTTATACAACTGCCACTCAGATCTTTAACAGTGTCTTGTCTTGGGCCACTTGGAAGAAGTCTATAAACAAATTCATTCCTGTTTAGAACAGTCCTCCTACCTCACTCCATTGGTTTCATTATAAGCCGTTTTGCCACACTGCAAACATACAGAAAGAAAGAAAAAAGGCAGTTACGTTTTCAGTTTTCATAGTCCAATGTCATCCAGAGTTATTTACACCTGTTGTACTGCAAAGTGGAGCAACAGTTTGTTCATTTTCACCAGCAATGTCACACCTTGAAGGCTGTTAAAATCTTTTCTGGGAAAATCAACTTAGAGCAATCAAACACCAAAAAATCCCCTTTCGCACTAAAACATTCTGGTAACTCCCTTGGTTAGACACAGACTGGCAACATAGAGGTGAAAGCTTCTGTATCCCATTACCAATTCTCTGAGCCAGCCTGTCCCCTATGACAAAGAAACTGATGAAATGAATAAAAAGAGGACATATGGAAGGATATTAGGGCCTTGTGAGAAAAGAAGAGATGCTATGGTGTAATAAAATTATAACTGGTATTGTCTGGGATATTAAAATCTTAAATGTCTGCAAGAGTTGCAGGCAAAAAAAAAAAAAACCAAACAAACCAAACAAACAAACAAACAAACAAACAGAAAACCGCTCCACATATACAAGAGCATGAATTAAATGTAAGAAAAAAGGCCTTATGGAAAATCAGGAGAAATGTCTTTACATTTAGAATAATTAACGTGTGGAATAGACTATTGAAAGAATCAGCAAATGCTGCAACTGTGGAAGAAAAAATATTATAGGCTACATAAACACTAGCTAGAAGAGTAGCATGGCCCTCTTCCATCTTGGAAGGCTGTGTTACTAAAAGGGAGCAATGAAAGATCAGAGCATTTTTAATCAGCATGAAAGGAGAAAATCAGCCAAGAACAGCAAAATATGAATATTTTTAAATGGCTTGTAAAAATCTTAGGTCTTCTGGCCAAGCTGGGAGTCTGGGATGTCTGGTTACCTTACCATAGGAGGAGAAATGTAACTGAATTCACCCTTTGGTGGTTGGGTCAGGAGAGTCTGATTCTAACAGTGTCTGAACTATATTAAAACAGGTAACATTGGGAAATCATAGGCTCTGCATCTTGGTGTCCACTTAGGAATGTCACCTGTTTGTGCTGAGTGACACTGTAACACCATGATACTGAATCACAGTTTATAACATTTTATCTTTCCCTCGGATTTTGCAGCAGTGTCTTAGGGTGTTTCATCCCCACCCTCACTTTGGGAGGCTGTGTCAGAAGATATATATCGAAATTCTTTAATTGATGAGTTTCCTTGGAATGGAGGAAGTAATACTTGCCACACCACAAAGAGTTTGTGCAAGCTATAAGTGCTAGAAAGAGAGGCAGAGAGCTGGGCCTCATTAAAAGAGTAGGCTGTTAAAAGGAAGGTGTCATGAGACTTCTTGCTTTTTCATGTGCCCCCTCGTGGCCGAGCATTTGACAGTGGCAGTCTTGCCTCAGTTTCCCTTTAGGCATCAGGTCTAGGGTGACCAGATGTCCCGATTTTATAAGGACAGTCCTGATTTTGGGGTCTTTTTCTTATCTAGGTTCCTATTACCCCCTCTCCCCTGTCCCAATTTTTCACATTTGCTGTCTGGTCACCCTAATCAGTTCCAAAATGTGGCCTATAATGCTTGGCCTCTCTTTATGGCTTCAGCTGTCTGGTTAAATTGTTTGAGTCTCTCCCCTTTTATGGTAGAAAGTGGTCTTATCCCAAAGTACTAAGGGCCCAGTGATTGGCCTCAACAGCTAGTCCTGGGGCCTGATGTCCCTCTCTGCCTACTCCACCAGTGGAGAAGCAAAGGACGTTAACACAGGAACAGAAATAAAGTCCAAAAGTCTTATATTAGGGCTGCCAGCCTGGATATGGAGATTTGGCAGTCCCTTCCCCCGAGGAATGATCCAGGCCTGCCCTCTGCTCTGGGTGCCAGTCCAGGTACCCTACGTTAGCCAGTCAAGGATTATTTGTTTAGGTCCCCTGCTTCCTCCCCAGGCTGCTTCCTACCTATGGCCTTCGTGGGTGTCTTCCACACGGCACCGTTTCCTGGATCCCTCTGGATAGCTTCCCCATCTGATGCTGTGGAGATTACCTGTGGTGGTTCCCAGCCTCTTCAGCAGCTCCCATGCTCTGTCTGGGTTGCAGCTTTTTATCCCATTTGTTGCTAACCGGCCATTCAGCTCCAGCCCCATATGTTGCAAATACCCACGACTACCTCCAGTGGACTTTTGTGGTGGGTATGACGTTACTAGTTAGGGCATCACACGGAATGCAGGAATTTGCCAGGTCACTCACACCTTCAGGGAACCTGAAAAACATATAAATCTAAAATTAAAGTGAATCATATGCCAGAAATCTCTCTCACCCTGGGGCCATTCAATATATAATTTCAATCAGATGGATTTTTCTTAATACTATTTGCCGATCATCAACAACAACAAAAAAAGTATAGTCCTTTTATTGTCCAGCTATTTCCTCTACTGAAATATAATTCAGATATCATTTTGGGTGTTATTTTAAGATGGTCTTAATCTTTTTATTTTTAATCTTATATTGCTTAATAAAGTTTGCTTGGCTATCATGTAAAGTTTTATTAAAATACAAGTGGATTTTTCTTTCAATGAGAAATTTCCACTGGTTTTTTTCAAGACACAATCCCTCCTCTTTTTCCTTGTATAATGGTTCATGTTTTAATGGGAGGGGATCGATGCTCCCTCAATAGCTTACTTTTGTTTGGGTGATTTTAAGACCTTTAAATTACCTCTGTTTGAATAAAGGGTTTGGGCATAGGAGAGAAGAAAATTATTCAGATTGATCCCTCTGTACACCTTCATGTTTACGGTCATTCTTTCTGAGCAGTATCTCAGACTAAATATATCTGATTATCAAGTGAAATATTCTAATACAAGGTACCAGATGGGAAACTAACAGAGTAGTCTAGGATTTTTAGAAGTCCATCTATTGTTCATGATTGCATTAAGTCTGTACCTTCAAGTGTAGTGAGTGGTAGAAATACATTGTATTTCACACAAATCAACATAAAGATGGGTCAAGAAGGCAATGTTTGGATCCACATTACCTTTAGGCTATGGTTCTGGGTTTTGGTCTGAGACTGAATCAGGACTAAGAATCATCTTTAATTTGGTTCTGTGATTTTCCAGTTTGGATAGAAAACCAGAAGAAGTATAAATCTTGCAAGAAAAATCATGGACAAAACTGTAGAAAATGGACTGTACAGACAGTCCCGCAGTTTTGAATCCGGGAACTGGATTCCTTCTCTCGAAATTTAAAAGGTGATTAAATTTGACATTCTGGTTTTGGTCTATTTCTAATTCAAACCAAAAGGATAAATGATAATTTAATCTGGGAGTTTAAATGCTGTTGCCTGAAGCAAAATATAAATCTACACACTGTTAAAAGTCAGAACAATTGTTTCTCTACATGTGGCATGAATTCCTACTAGGTATTGTATAAACTGCATGGATACAATGTGGAGAACACAGACCCCTGTTTTACCTTTGTGATCTAATTTTTTTAATGTAGATTTTACAGTTCACAGTATCTTTACATGTACTAGTGATGGCAAATCTCTAAAGATTCTGACTGCAGTTTTACTTTGAGCGTCTCTCCAAAGCTAACTAGAACAATCCAAAACTGCTGAGTCTACAGCATTTGATTGGAAATCTCATGAGGATGGACTGTCTCCTGAGATTTCCAGCACTTTTTCAAGTCTTGTTTTTTGCATGGCATTTCAGCACCTCAGCTTCCACTCCTGGCCAGAAAACAGAAGTGAAGAAAACTAAGGTGAACATTTCAGAACCTTAATAACTGTTCAGTTCAGTTTCAGTTCTGCACATGACACACAGTCAGGTGGGGAGAGAAAGAAAGGGAGTTTTAATTTTCCAAACCAGTTCACCTATCCATAATTTGTGCCATGAGCTATCTTGTGCATATTTTGGATAAAGAGAATTTCCCTCTAATGTGATTTTCTAAAATGACTTAATACACAAACTCACCAAATTCTGCCTTCTGTTACTCCAGTAGTCTCCCTCCCCCCCACTACCTTACACCTCATGTAGTCATTTCCACCCATGAAAAGCAGTTGTAAAACATCACCATTCTGATCTGGCTGCATTTCACACAAGTGCAAATGACTACACAAGGTGCACAGCAGTGGAGAATGAGTTAAAATTATGCACAGTTTCCTCAGCATTAGAATATACTTCTGAGGAGTCCTGCTTGATTTGGGAATAAACTGCAGGGGAGTTCCAACCTTCTTTCAACAAAAAGGGCTCACTCAATGTTTGGGTTCTTTTATTTAATGGAAACAAGGTTTCAAGTTTCCAGTTCACAAAGGAGGCTGGCAGAGACAATAAAAAATGATCAGTTATATGGGGGATGAAAGTCAACCTTCTCACAGACCTGCTACTTTCAAGACTTGGACCCAGCACTTTCTAACTTCTTCCCTCTTCTTAAAAATTAAGGGCCAGAGCCACAGCTGCTGTAAATTAGGACAACTCAACTGCTGCCAATTAAGCTATACCAGTTTATACCAGCTGAGGATCTGATCCTCAGTTGTTTTCAAACATGGGGATTGCACAGAGTGTATTAATTTGACTCTCAGATACAGAGCCTTGTGAACTAAGCAACTTCTCCAATCTGTTTTATCACTTTAGAGTGTTAGGCTTTTTTTTTGTACTCTATTTATGAGATTAGTTGATAAGATTGATGTTAAGTGTCAATAGACAATGTCATTTTAAATAACTAAAACAATAAAATCAAGGAGAGTTTAAAAAAAAAAACTCCTGCCAACTTTGCCAGCATTGTAAAGTGAAAGAGAAGCAGTTAGAACTGCCAATAAATTTAGTTTGGATGAGGCAAGCTAAGCAGGTTCTTATTGGAAAATATGGAACATTATTGTCCAACTGCATCATGACTTAATAAAAAATATGTATTTTACATAGTGGTTACTATATCACCCAGTTAAACTTGTAAAAATGATTTCCTTTTATCTCTCAGAGCTGTGGAACATCTGGCAACCAGCTTCCACTCTGCACTTTTTGTTGGCCACTAAGAGTTTAAGGTTTGAGGAAAATCCATTACACAACTTAAGCTTCACCCCCTAAAAAATGAATATTTTAAGAGGTCCACTGAGATGTCTGGTGATAATTCACTTATGTATGGACATGCTATTAATTTTATAGTTCAGGCCAGTTTTGCACATTTCTGCATCTGATGGGAAACCTGTTCTCCATGGCAGATGGAGTGGGAGGAAAGATATCCATTCTCAAAAGGAATACTTTTAAAAATATTTCAGAATGAGGCTATACAAAGCAATTCAACTGAATGTGCAAGGTAGTATTGGAACAAGGGCTGATCAAAAATTTCCATCAATACTGTCTTTTGGTGGAAACTTAGGTTTTCAGCTAAATATTTTTTTTCACAAGAAGCGTCCACTTTCTGTGGAAATTTCTGATTTTTCATCAAAAAACCAAATGCCCCAAAACCCAAAATATTTCTATTCAAATATGCCACTGCAGTGCAAGTTGTAATTCCGTTGCCTTTTGACCCTATTCTCCTCTCTAGGATGGGCTCCCCAGCCAGACTTTATCGCCCATGGGATTTCCATGATTCACCCACTCCCCTTACAAAGAGAGGGAACCATGGAGCATATGGGAGCTGTAGTTTGACCAGAGAATGGGAGACCAAGAGGCACCAAGAGCAGCATTTCCAAATTGAACTAGTTTAGTTTTTGAATATGCTGCACTATAAAGTCAAACTTTTCCATGGGGAAAAAAATCAGTTTTGAAGCATCTATGGTTATGAGCGTTTTACACTATTTGATGTTCAACCAACATACTCATATTACAGCCTATGGACCCAAAGGACAGTGAAGTATCCACATTTTTGAAACTTTTCTGGTGACAGCCTAATGAGAGCTACAGTAAAGGCTGATATGACTGAAAAATATTCCAGCTGATAACTACATAGATCTATACAATGAACTTGGGCTGGAGAGACCAAGTACCATCTAGGGTTCAAGATTGAAAGCCACTGAGCTATGTCACTTCTGCCAGACTGAACATCACAAAAATCAATGAGACATTGATGGACAAACCTTGAAAGGTTCACTTCCAGTAAGCACTGAAAATGTTATCTAGAGTTGAAATTGAGCTCTTATGGCTAATATACCATTCTGGCCACTGACTAAGCAGCCTTTCTTTAACTCTACACAGCTGTGCAGTGCAGTGCTGTGGAAGCCCAAGTCTTATGCCTGCCCATTAAGCATTCCCCCCAATTGCCCAACAGGCGTGATTAATGAGGAGGAAGTTTTTCTGGTGGAGCCTGATGAATAATGGGTATGGCAAGAAAAGGGATCTGGGACAACAGGAAGGTAGGGAGCAGAAGAAGGAATTTTTTACCATGTTAACAATGAAAGAGAGAGGTAGAATTCTCTCTGGATGGAGGAGGTGAAGCCAAAGGAAAGTTATAACTCTCGCTTGAGACCACCACTGGCTTCCTACTCCCTTCTGCCTTCCAACATGAGTAGGGAATAAAAGTCCCAGATCCCTCTCTGGCTTCTTCTCATGAAACAGAATGCTCCTCCAGCAATCCCCCCTCCAGTGTGGATGAAAGGGGCAGAAGAATCCACAACAGCCCTTTCTTTGGGTTTTCAGGGAGGGGTAGTAAAGAATTGCAGGTGTGGATTTAGTTGTCTAACTTTAGCCAGCTAGGTTTGCAATTTTTTTTGTCCTAAGCATTTAGCCTGTTTTAGCAGAAATGTACTGGATAAAAGTCTGCTTAGAAAAAATCAGTACTTTCTAGGTTCATTCCTTTTATTATTCCAAGATGGCTGGTGCTATCATTGCTTCTGTGATCCACTGCCAGGGATGGGTGGAATGTCCAACCCCACCCAAGTCTCCCTCTAGTGATTATGTCTCCCTCTAGTGGCTCAAGCCCTACAAAGAGAATAGAAGTTCTACTAGTGTAGTGACAGCTAAGGGATATTTTCCTTTTACTTAACAAGTAGAGGTGTGGTGATTTTGAATCAGACGTTCTATTTCTCAAAATTAATATATGAAGGTTAGGATGAGAGCTATGATCTCTGCACTTCGGTAGAGTTGGATTTATTACAGTGGCTATCCTACATAATCCCAGCAAGGATACCTGCTTCTGGAATTAAAAATTGAATTTTAATACTCAAAAACAGCAAGGTAAGATATTACAGGGATCAGTGCTACAAAAATATGAAAGGTAGATTAGAAAGGGAACAATATTACAGTTAAATCACAGCCTCAGTAAAGAGAA